GTTCAACGCAGATTCGGAATAAGAACCTCTTTGCTCTCTGTTTTCGTTTATTCTCATTTAAATTCTAAGTATTTTCGTCATCTTATTTTCGTTGTGCGGTTCTCGCAGATAGCCGGTTCCTCTGGAAACTTAGGGTTTTCCCGAAGTTTCCTTTTTTACGATTTATTTGACAGTAGGGTGAAATCGACTCCCACATCCCTATTGGTATGATGGTCCTTTCACACCACAGCCTTCTCCGTCTAAGACTTCTGATAGTCTGCAAGGTTTCATAAGTCATGCTGCAGTACTCAACGCATTTTCAGCTACCGCTTCTCCCCAAGCTCCTCTTTCGACTCCCCGGTCACTCCGCAGCAATCAAAAGGTAAGATAACTGATTCCATGCCCTTCGTTGTAATTCTTGGTGTTGTCTTCCATTACCTTTTGCTAACCTCAGTCCTTTACAACACACTAGGCTCATCAAAGCGTTGTCACCGAAGCTGTAGAAGTGAGTGACGGAGAAGAACCTAAGCACATCCCAGATCGTTCTGAAAACCTCCTAGCAAAAGACCTAAGAAGCTGCAAAGATATCCCACCTCAATCTCTAATTGCACCCTTACCTTGGAAACAATGGGATCATTTTTGCCGTGTGGTGGCACAGATCAAGCATGTGTAAGTAGTCTTTAAATGTGTTCACCTACTAAAACACGATTACTAATTCGAACTCATCTCTCCACAGGAACCACATAACACCTTCTCAACACGGGTTCTCCAACAAATGGCTCTTGCAACTAGCGGAGCCTCAGCAGTGGACATCCTTTTATGTACAGTTTCTAGACTCTATTTTGTTACTTTATTATGGGATGCTTTTGTAGTGATTAAATTTGTTTATGAATCTCTATAATTTTCCAGAATATGGAGGTTCTCATGTACATGCTAGCTGAAAGGCATAGCCTCATGCTCCAGGAACAAAACCTCTCATTCACTTCTCCGGACTTTACATTTGGAATCCAGCGGATATCCAAAAAGTTCATGGCATCAAGAAAGAGAGAGACATTCATTTGGCCTAACGCCCTCACCGAGGTTGTACTCAAGCCTGGTTGTAAGTGGATGGAAGATGTTATTACTGTCTACACACCCATGCTATGGAACGAGAAGCACTGGGTTGGCCTTGCCATCAACCTCGACCTGGGATGTGTCGAAATCTTAGACCCCCTCCCGACTTTGTACACCGACAAGACTGTTGATAGGCTCATGACCCCGCTCCT